TCAGTCCAAAATCAGCACTGTCTCAGACGCACCCATTGCCCCGTCACGCGGGTGAGAAATGTTTCAAAGCAGTGAAGTGTGAGTGCACCGTAAGTGATGCAGTTATCACGTCCCATGAACTTCCATTAATAAGACAAGGACTTCTATACATCACTCACACACAGATACACAAGATGCGCTTTTGCATGTGTGGCTGTCTAGAGAAAAATGATCTGTTGAGAAAACTTCTTCAGGTTACACAGATCTGTTCAAGCTGGAGATCCCATAGGAGAATGTCTTTGAGTGAATACTGGTCTATTAATCAAATAGGTCAAAATTTCCTTTGTTGGAGAATCCTTCAGATTATGTAAATTTATTGATTTTTAAAATTTGAGTTGTGAAACATAAACGCAAGCATTGACTTACTGGAATTTGACTTCTGTGCTCATAAAACTTCTGAAAACATTTCTTCCAGTGATTTGAGAATAACTTTCCAGTTTCTTTACTCCAGGAAATGAATTTTCACAAAGTTTTAGGACACCGTGTTTCAGGTGCTTTAGTTAGAGACTGAATTCCTTGGGGCAGGCTGCTTTCTTCCACCGATGAGCTCACTTCTGCAAACCATTCAGTTTGTGGCTCTATTGCCAAGTGTCATGAAGCTTTTACACTCCAGTGCACTGAAAATAACATGCACTCTTTCCTTAGACTACCACATATATTCTCATATTTACTCTTTCCTCAGAAAACAGACATTTCCTCATGTTGACTCTTGTGTCAGACAAGCAAACATGTCTCCATGTGAACTCTTCACTCAGATAAGTACATGTGTTTGCACAATGACTGTTTTCTTACAGAGGCACATATATCCAATGTGGAAATGTTTTGCGACAAAATGATCTCAAGATAATGATCATTATGACCTGTGTGGTCTGTATGTTTTTCATGGTAGCCTACCTTGGCCTTACTGTCAAGAACTGGAGTTTGCAGCTCTAAATGCACCAATTAGAGACAGTTGTCCATTTTCTCTGGAAATCTATTTTTAGGTTCTTATGGGACGTATTTGTTGATGTTTGCTACTATGAAGATACCTGGACAGTGTCCATATTAGAGAATAAGAAAGAGTAATGGGCAGATTAACCCTGTGGATCCATACCCAGGAATCCTTTGACCCTGCCCTCCCTGAAATGGAGCCACAGAGGATGGATGAGCAATCCTGACTGGTGCACCATGACCACAAAAAGAAAGACATGGAAAAGTGTCCCCTCCCCTCCTGATGAAAGTCAGCTCATCCCTGTTCCTTCAGGCCCTGGTGAGGAGACACTCCATGTCTGTGTCCTTCCCCAGTGTCCACACTGTGGGGTCTGCACTGATCTGGATTCCCTTCAATATTGGGGTCCCGTGTGGATCAGGTCCAGCTGTGGCTGCTTCACATGGGGCTGTTCTCAATCTGTTCCCTCTGTGTTTGAAGAAGTTCTGTGTGAAGTTAACTGGTGGAGTCTGAGGGGGAGAAATTGCACAGCCAAATGGTTCACTGAACCTCTCCTGCAAAGCCTCTGGATCCGCCTTCACTGATTGCAGCATAAGCTTGGTCCAGGACTTCAGTTTGTGCGGGTGGCAACAGGGAGGAACTCGAGAAGTTCTCAGCGGTGCCCTCCATAGGTACAAAGAATTTTCACGGTCCCCAGGGCACCCTTACATACATGATCTCACTGACATCTTTACTTCTTTTATCTTGTTTGTTCTGTAAGTCACAACGAATGGTGCATTCCTCATCTATTACATATTTGTTAAATTACTTGTTGATGTCTTTTTAAAAACTGGTAACTTTATCCTATGTAATATCCCTGTTAAGTCCTAAAAAGCGTTTTTGTTGTCTACTTTATGTGAAATTTACACAACTGTTATAGCTTTCTTTTGGTTGATATTGTCATAATCCATGTTTTCCTGTTTTATCTGTTCTATTTGTGAATTTGTAGAGTAACATTCTTGTACATAGGTAATGGTTGGGTCTTCCTTTTTTAAATAAACTATAAATTTTATTTTTAAAAATATTGCTTTTTCTGTTAATTTTTGTTTAAATTAGTATTTTCTAATGATGTTTATTCCTCTATTAACATGTTTTTTAATTCACTTTTTATAAATGTTGTATTGGTTACCATAAGGTTTACAGTAAGAATTGTACGTAATTAGATTCTAATGCAAATATTGTGATGGTCTTGATATGAAGTACAGAGATAGTGTAACTGTGTGCTTTGAACTCCTCATTCTCACCGCTCTGCAATTGCAAGCTGAAAATATCAATTCATCTTGATTTTGCCATCTTTTGAAATCTTAATTTTGTTTTATAGATCTATGTTTTGAATGCATATCACATGGCTACTAGCAGAGAAACTTAGTTAAAATGTGCACTGAAACATAAATGTGCTGACAAAAAAAAATTGTCTCAAGATCTTTTTATTAATGACATAATTATATTTGCCTTTCACTTTTTTTTTTTTTTTTTTTTTTTTTTGAGACGGAGTTTCACTCTTGTTACCCAGGCTGGAGTGCAATGGTGTGATCTCGGCTCACCGCAACCTCCACCTCCTGGGTTCAGGCAATTCTCCTGCCTCAGCCTCTTGAGTAGCTGGGATTACAGGCACGCGCCACCATGCCCAGTTAATTTTTTGTATTTTTAGTAGAGACGGGGTTTCACCATGTCGACCAGGATGGTCTCAATCTCTTGACCTCGTGACCCACCTGCTTTGGCCTGCCAAAGTGCTGGGATTACAGGCTTGAGCCACTGCACCCGGCCGCCTTTCACTTTTAATGATATTGTAATGCCTGTAGAATTCCAGTTAAATTTCCTGTGTAATTTGTTGGCGGACATGGCCACACATTACATTCTGCTGGGCCTTTATTAACCACATTTCCGTGAATCTAGTCAGGGTTGGATTTCAAGTTTATGGTTGACATGGCTAATGAAGTTGAAGTCAGCTTCTCTTGTTCACAAAAACTTCACATTCCTCTGGTAATATCTGCTTTTGTGTTCCTGTTTGGCTTTGGGTCTTCACATTTCATTCTCCCCAGAGAGAGCCTGTCTGTTTCTGCTGTGGAGGTGCATCCTGGTGACACCTTTACTTTGTGATTGTTGGTGTGGTGAAGGGGCTTGGACACAGGGGGACATTCTCCAACCTTCTGCCTGAGCCTCCTTCTTAGTTATGGGTGTTGAGACTGGCTCTGAAGCACAGCCTTCCAAGCGTTCCTGTTCCTTCCCTTCCCCAAGTGTCAGAGTGTCTCTTCCCAGCCACAGAGGTTTCTCATCAGTGTCCACAGTTTCTGACCCATTGTCCTTACCCCACAGATTCAGGATTTCATTCCTCAGGAAAGAGATGGGGGGTGTTTCTGGGTAGAGTCTCCTTGGCATCCTCTGTTTCCTTGTGTTCCAGTTGATTCTACCAGTGCCCACAGGACACAAGATGTAATAAATATCTGCCATATATAGCGAAGGGGGACTCAACTTTGAATGGAGCTGCTGTTCTTCCTCCTCAGTCAATGCCACAGGATGGCAGGTGGGTGAGTTGTCTGGGCATTTTCCCCAGTTCTGTAGGAAAAGCCTGAAAGAGCCAGGAGTTTCATACTCTAACATCATTAGCACACATGTCCTCAAGCAACTTACTAAACATTTCTAGGTTAGCTTTCTCCTGTTTTTAATACCATTTCATGATGGCACCTGCCTCAGGTACTCTAATAAATGGGCTCTAGTTCTCTCTGCAGTTTCCTATTTTCTCAGATTTCAAGGTTTTTTCTCTGTGACATCAACTCAGATATGCTGAAAAGTTTATTTTTTTGTAATTGTTCACTTTTTTTGTTAGTGTGGTCAAAATAAACATAATTTTCTCAATTTTTACATTCTCATGTTTAGTGTCTGCTTTCTAAGTAAAACTCAGAAACTAAGATAGCAAATCAAATACCCATTTTGTTAAATAGTTAAAAAAATTGAAATACATTCATGTACTGCAATAAAATGAACCATTGAAATCAAGGCATGCCTCATTCAGATAAGAACATGGGGGCATTATCTAATAATTGTGCTGAGCGAAGGAAACTAATTAACAGTAAATTTTAAGTTATTTCATGTGTGTAAATTGTAGAACATTCAAGTATTCAAAATTAATGTGGAGAAGATCCGAGTTTTTCTGAGAATAGGGTGGTGAGATTAACAAGGTGATGAAATAAAATTACAGAAAAGTGAGAAAAAAATTAGGTTAATTTAATTGTTGACTATATGATTGAAGTGCTGATTCAATGACTGTACATATATATCAACATTTCCCATATGCTGTTCTATCAATTTGAATTCATTATTGATTGATTTTTTAATAAAGCTGCTACAAAAATGGATCTATTGGCTGAGAAAGAGGGAGCAAGAGGTGAATACTGGCACTTGAATAATCATAGACTCCCGAAGACACACACATGTGAACACTGATTGTATATTTCTGATAAACACTAGAAAAAGTAGAATCACATAAATCAGTTATGACAGGTGGGACATCCTGAAACCTCCCTCGACATGTCCCACATTGCTCTGGAGCAGTGTATCAGGGGAGAAGTTTCTTCCAGTAATTGGCGACACAGGCACAGATGGGACTAACTCTGTCCAGATGTGTGATATAGGACACACTGCACAACTGCACTGTTCTGTGTATAATTTATCTTTTCTAAACATGCAACATTGACACTTGAATTAAAGATATTTGACAATTATGTAATAGTAAAATAAGATGACTGCTCAATGATTATCAACACACAATCACATAATCTGAAGTTATATTTTCCCAAGAGATAGGATGACTGCCAATGTTTTGCAGGGCACTCTCGTCTGCTCTGGGCACCGCCCTCTCCTCAGCTGCCCTTCCCCAGAGCTTGCTTTGTAGCAGGAGACATGCAAATAGGGCCCTCCCTCTGCTCATAAAAAACAGCCCAGCTCTGACCCTGCAGCTCTGGGAGAGGAGCCCAGCCCCAGAATTCTCAGGTGTTTCTATTCAGTGATCAGCACTGAACACAGAGGACTCACCATGGAGTTTGGGCTGAGCTGGGTTTTCCTTGTTGCTATTTTTAAAGGTGATTTATGGAGAACTAGAGATACTGAGTGTGAGTGGACATGATCAAGGGGAACAGTGGATATGTGTGGCAGTTAATGACAAGGGTGTCTCTGTGTTTGCAGGTGTCCAGTGTGAGGTGCAGCTGGTGGAGTTTGGGGGAGGCTTGGTTCAGCCTTGGGTGTCCCTGAGGCTCTCCTGTGCAGTCTCTAGATTCACCTTCAGTAACTACTGGATGTACTGGCTCTGCCAGGCTCCGGGGAAGGGGCTGGAGTGGATTGGAGAAATTAATCCTGATGGGGGTAGAACAAACTACAAAGACTCCGTGAATGGCCAATTCACCATCTCCAGAGACAACTCCAAGAACACGTTTTATCTGCAAATGAACAGCCTTAAAACCGAGGACACAGCCGTCCATTAATGTACTAGTGACACAGTGAGTGGAGGTCAGTGTAAGCCCAGACACAAACCTTCCTGCAGGGGCGCATGGGGCCACCAGGGGGCGCCCGGGACCCACTGAGGACAGGACAGTTTCCAGGAGCATGTGCAGGGGGAGATTTCCTGTCTCAGCTGCAGAAGGCTGGCTTGTTTTTGCAGGACTATGGAATCTTATGAGATTGTGATATTTCAATATACTTATCATAATTTTTAATTGAGATATTTGTGTTTTAGTAATTTTTAAATTTATAGGTTATGGATATTTAAAAAATACATATACCAGCCTATGAGTGAACACATGTGGCATTTGATTTTCTGCTCTTGTGTCACTTTGCTGAGAATGATGGTTTCCAGGTTCATCCATGTCCCTACAAAGGACGCAAACTCATCGTTTTTGATGGCTGCATAATATTCCATGGTGTGTATGTGCCACATTTTCCCTATCCAGTCTATTATTGATGGGCATTTGGGTTGGTTCCAGGTCTTTGCTATTGTAAACAGTGCTGCAATGAACATTCGTGTGCATTTGTCCTTATAGTAGAATGATTTATAATCCTTTGGATATATACCCAGTAATGGGATTGCTGGGTCAAATGGGATTTCTATTTTTAGGTCATTGAGGAATCGCCACACTGTCTTCCACAATGGTTGAATTAATTTACACTCCCACCAACAGTGCAAAAGTGTTACCATTTCTCCACATCCTCTCCAGCATCTGTTGTCTCCAGATTTTTTAATGATCGCCATTCTAACTGGTGTGAGATGGTATCTCAACGTGGTTTTGATTTGCATTTCTCTAATGACCAGTGATGATGAGCACTTTTTCATATGTTTGCTGGCCTCCTATATGTCTTCTTTTGTAAAGTATCTGTTCATATCCTTTGCCCATTTTTGAATGGGCTTGTTTTTTTTTTTTTTTTTTTTTTTTCCTTGTAGATCTGTTTTAGTTCTTTGTAAATTCTGGATATCAGCCCCTTGTCAGATGGGTAGACTGCAATTTTTTTTTCCATTCTGTTGGTTGCCGATTCACTCTACTGACTGGCGGGTATTGAACAATGAGAACACATGGACACAGGGAGGGAAGCACTACACACTGGGGTCCCTTGAGGGGAAATGGGGGAGGAATGGGGGTGGGGAGGTGGGAAGAGATAGCATGGGGAGAAAAGACAGATACAGGTGAGGCGAAGGAAGGCAGCAAACCACACTGCCATGTGTGTTCCTATGCAAAAATCTTGCATGTTCTTCACATGTACCCCAAAACCTAAAATGCAATAAAAAAATACCTATACCTTCAAGAAATAATTTATCCTAATAATTTTCACTTATTCTTCTAGAGTTTTATTAACAACTGTTGATATCAGCAACTACATAGCTATGGGGACATAAATTTACATCTATAGACATATGTGTAAACACACAAACTTATGAATACATCTGTGGTCTTTAATATTTAATCCTATTATAAAATAATTATGAAATATATCCCAAAGAATAAAACTTAATGACTAACAAAATTTAAATTATAGTAATCCATAACTGATTTCAGCCATTCTGTATAGTTTACATAAATTGATGTCTATTTGTAAGTTTAAACATAGTCTACTGGCTATGTTAAAATAGCCAAGAACAAATTTCAAATGTTCTTGTCACACACACACACACACAAATAAGGATTGGAGGAGATATATATGTCAATTGGTTCAGTTCAGTTATTATATTGGATTTCTAAATCATAATATAGCTTTGTACTCTATATATACAACCAAAATTTCACAATTTTCAATGAAATTTTAACCACATATTTTTAAATCCATCCTAGGTCATGAATTTTTCTCCCTGTCCAGGTGTGATTAGATTGTCCTGAGAAACTCATTCACCCTCCTGCCTCCTGAAGGCTTCAGCAAGTAGCTCCTAGATGGGCAGAAGCAGGCAAATTGTGTGTGTCCCTAGGACTTGAAGCTTGTCTCTCTTTGAACTAGACAAACACAGAAACACTTAATTTCATTCTGCTTTGCTTCAATTGTTCAAAACAACATACATGAGACCGTCCCTGTGCTTCAAGGTTTATACTCAGGAGTTCGCATGTATTACACATTTTCAATTTTTTTTTCTGAGATAGAATGCTGATGTCTCCTTATTACACATTATCCTTTTATGTCTTAGAATTATTTTTTCCACGGCCCACGCCCAGGCAGCCACACAGATTGGAGCAGTGCCAGGGCTGAGGCTGGTGTGCACGGGCTGCAGCATATGCCTCAGAGGGAGCTGGGCCCCCACAGCAGTGCTGGAGTTGCGAGAACAGCCCAACTTCACCAGAGCCCAAGTCTTTCAGATTAACCCCAACATCAAGAACTGGATCCTGCGAGCAAGCAGCGGTCACCGTTGCCTCCTTCTATGACGTCAAAGGAACCACTATCGGATCATCAGCGTGGGCGGAGCCAAGGTGACCATCAACAGCACAATCACACCAAATATGACCTTCCCCAAAACGCCGCAGAAGTCTGGGCAGGGGCCGACAGCAGTGCCGACCCTGTGTTTGGTTTGGGGTTTTCCTCTGAGCAGCAGCTGGCAACGTTTGCAGAGAAATTCCAGGAGCTGAAAGAAGCTGCTGAGACGCCCAAAGACAAGGCCCGGGAGAACACCGGGAGCTGGAGTCATGGTTCCCAGCGATCTGGGCGTGAAGCCCCATCTTCTGCTCCGGCAATCCAGTGTCAAGGGCGGCAATGAAAAGGCCTCTCGGCCGCAGCCGACACGCACCAGAAGTCTGAGAAAGGCACACCGGAAGTCTGAGAAGGGCGCGTGCCGGGACGCAGAGCGCGGCCACCGAGCAGAAGCAGGAGCTACAGCTGCGCCCTGAGGAGAGCCACGCCCCACGGACCACAGTGCTGCCGGAGCCGGAGCCGGGGAAGAGGTCGGGACACCCACAGGGAGGAGGAGAAGAATGCCCAGCTACAGAGGAGGATGGAGGGGCTGGAGGCGGAGCTCCCAGAACAGGAGAGGAGCTGAAAAGTCTCCGAAAACAAAGTGAAATCTCGCCTCAGCTCCTGTCAGAGCACGGCTGTGTCTCTGAGAAGCTCCAGGCGGCCGAGAGAGAATGAAAACCAGGAAGTCAGAGGGCGCTCCCTAAACAGACACTGAGGCGAGCAAACGCCCACAGCGCCACCTGGAGGTGGAGGCGAACAGCTTCCCGGAGCTGCTGGACCGGAAGTTCGATGACCCGCCCGACTTCAGCCCAGGCCTCTCCATCCCCAGCACTGATAACTAGGGTTGGCTAGGCCTGGGCACGCCCTTGGGTCCCACACGTGCGTGTGAGACCATACAGCACTAGGTCGTTCTCCTGTGTGTGTTCTTCTGTAAATGCAGGTGCAGTTTGTCGTGTTTCCAAACCAGCTGTGCCATCCACTCAGTCCTTTCCAGAAGATAAATCTCCTCTCGCTTCTCTGGCTTTGTGAGGGTGTGGACAACTGGAAGATTCTGACTCCGGAATCCAAAACTAGGTCTAGGTTAAACATTTAGGCAGTCAGGACAGGGATGTTTATATCTTTCATAAAGGCTGTTTCAACCATTCGAACTGAAAAAAAGAAGTTTTTTTTCCTGGAGTCATAGTCTTGCTCTATTGCCCAGGCTGGAGTGCAATGGTGCAATCTTGGTTCACTGCAATCTCTACCTCCTGGGTTCAGGCAAATCTCCTGCCTCAGCCTACCTAGTAGCTCTGATTAATCCAAATATTGATATTCTTTAGAGGAGGCCATCGGGCTCCTTTTATCAAATAGCATTCAGAATATTTGAATGTCCACCAGGCACCTGCCCCACTGGGGCACAGAGACAATATTCCTCTCTGTCAACACTGAGAAGCTTTAAAACAATTATTTTCTGGAGACTCATGGAGAGTTGGAAAACAAGTTTCTGGTGAGTGCATTTTCTGGCCTGGGAATCACCTGCATCCACGTACAGCTTCCTGACCCCCAATTTTGATGGTTGCAACAATGGTTCTTGTCTTGGTTTTAATTTCTAAGTAGATGATTCTGGTCTGGGAACAGCCCATAGTGAGGGTGCCTAGCACAATGCCTGGTACAAAGTCGAGGCTTAATAAATTGTTGTTCAATTTACAAAAAAGAATTACTTTTTCCAAAGTAATTCTCAAAACCAGAGTATTACTACAGGTGTAAAAGTTGGACTAACATTGGAAATACATTCAATTTAGTTCATGTGCTCTCAAATATGCTTTTTTCTTTTAAAGTTCTTTGTTGTAATATCACACAAAATATTAGTAATTTACACTAATGACATAGGTTAAAATATTGCATAAATAATATAGTGACATTTGATTAAAAAAATACATGTTCCATATGTCTTGACATTTTTTTCCTTCTCTGTGAAATGTATGTTTATTAAGTTTCAGATGTTACCATTATTTTTTTAATTTCTGTGATTTAATTTTAGTAGGCATACCTGAATGCATTTTATTAATTCATGTAATAATGTTCATAGTTTGAATAATGTTGAATATTAATTTTACTATTTGCTGAATTTTAAACTATTCTACATTTTTTTTTTGTTTTTATGAGATAAAATTTCCATGTAAGAAAAAAATGCATAGATTTGAAATGTGTCACTGGAGAGTTTCTGTCAAATGTGAATATCCTTGTTTCCAAAACCTAAGATAGCCTGAAAAACAAGTCTATCCCCACAGCACAGGTCTTCCTCTGTGCCTGCGGTCAACACCTACATTGGGGAAATGTTTTGATTTCTGATACTATAGACCTATGTTTTTTTTCTGTTTTGAACCTTATATAAATGTAATCAAACATTATAGACCTATTTTGGTAAGGGGCTACTTTGCTATTTTTGAGGTTAATTCGTGTTATTTAATATATAAAATTAGATCAACATATTGTCATTTATTCAATTAATGGACTGATTTTCATATGAAATCTTAATGTTTTCATGTACAAATGGAGAGAGAGGGAGACAGAGAGAAGAAGAGAGATTTTACATTGAGTCAGTCCATTAAGTAAATAAATGACAATGTTTTGATATATTTTCCTGTTAATGAATTTTAAATTTCTTTCCAGTTTATGAGTATTATAAGCAAAGGTGTTAGAAATGTGTTAGTGTATGTTTTCCTATTTTGTCTCATTTTTATTGAGAAAATATGAGGTATGTATTGCTTTTCTCTAAGAGTACGTTTCATTTTTTTAGTTTTTAAGGTATGATTGAAATATTTTGATAATATATGTGTTTAAGGTGCCCCACTTGATATTTTGATGATGTATTAGTCAATTCTCACACTGCTATAAAGAAATGCCTGAGACTGAGTAATCTGAGGGGGAAAAAAAGATGTCTAATTGGCTCCCGTTTCTGCAGACTGTAGAAGTGTAGTGGCTTGTCCTTCTGGGGAGATTCAGGAAAGTTAGATTCGTGGCAGAAGACAAAGGGGAGCAGGCACATCACATGACCAGAGCAGGAACCACAGGAAAGGGGGAGGCATCTACACACTATTGGACAATCAGATCTTGTGAGAACTCACAAGCCCTCATGAGAACAGCACCAGGATCTGGTTCCAAACCATCCATGAAATAACCACCCCATGGCCCAGTCATCCTCCCACCTCAATTGTGACCTTCACAATTGAGGATTATGTTGCAACTTGGGATTTGGGACAGGACACAGATACAAATCGTATCAGATACACATTGTGAAATGCTCATCATGGTCAAGGTAATTTGTATATCCATCTTCTCTCAGAGCTACCATTTATTTTGAATGCACTGTGTATGTGTGTGTCACACGAGGAAACCTAAGATCTACCTTTTTAGCAAAAATCACATTTACAATACAATCTTAAATACAGGAACATTGCTGTACGTTAAATCTCCAGAGGTCATTCAACCTGCACAACTAGAATTCTGTGCCATTTGTCCAACATCACCCTTTTTCCCTCTCCTCACAGGTGCTGGGACCCACTATTCTACTCTCTGCTTTAAGAGCATGGACATTTTAGATCCCACATGTAAATGAGATCACGAAGCATTTGTCTTTCTGCATCTGACTTATTCCAGTTAGAATCATGTCCTCCAGGTGCATCTGTGTTGTTGCAAATGTCAGAATTTCCTTCTTTTCAAATCCAAATAAAATTCAGCTGAATATTTATATTACAACCCATCTGTGTTTTTGCTGGTGATTTTTCACGTGTAATGTGGAAATAACATTAATACTACATACCATGTTTTCTCTACATATGTAAAAATAAAAGATGATTGGTGCTAACTTTAAATATATACAGTTTATGTAGATATATTGTACCACAATACAACTGTTTTAGAATAGAAATTACAAAATTATAACTTTCATATGTTTTAAGGTTTTATCATAGAACAAACTTACAATAAGAAACCACAATTTCCGAATGCCATCAATATCACGAATCTCCCCCAGGACACTGTCCCATGCTCTGAGCCCCACTCTCTCGTCATGCCTCTCACCACAGATCTTGCTATATAGCAGGAGACATGCAAATACAGGCCTCCCTCTGCTGATGAAAACCAGCCCAGCCCTGACCCTGCAGTTCTTGGAGAGGAGCCCCAGCCCTGGGATTTTCAAGTGTTTGCATTTGGTGATCACGACTGAACACAGAAACTAAACTTACCATGGAGTTTGTGCTGAGCTGGGTTTTACTTATTGCTATTTTGAAAGGTAATTCATGGAGAAATAGAAAAATGAGTGTGAATGGACATTACTGAGATAAACAGTAAGTATGTGTAACAGTTTCTGACAAGGTGGTCTTTGTTTGCAGGTGTCCAGTGTGAGGTGCAGCTGGTGGAGTCTGGGGGAGGCTTGGTTCAGCCTGGGGGGTCTCTGAGACTCTCCTGTGCAGCCTCTGGATTCACCTTCAGTAACTACTGGATGAGCTGGGTCCGCCAGGCTCCAGGGAAGGGGCTGGAGTGGGTCTCATACATTAGATATGATGGGGGTAGCACAAGCTACGCAGACTCCGTGAAGGGCAGATTCACCATCTCCAGAGACAATGCCAAGAACTCGCTGTTTCTGCAAATGAACAGCCTTAGAGCCGAGGACACAGCCATGTGTTATTGTGCAGGAGACACAGTGAGGGGAGGCCAGTGTGAGTCCAGGCACAAACCTCCTGCAGGAAGGCTGTAGCAAAATCAGCTGCAGGAGGGGCTCAGGAGCCACTGATCAGAGTCAACCCCAGAGGCAGGTGCAGATGGAGGCTGGTTTCCTGTCAGGATATGGGTCTTCATCTTCTTCTGACAGTTTCTCTAGTGAAACTTTCTAAGTTTAGAATTCTGTGCTTACTATTATCATCTCTTCATAATTGTTTTCATTATACTTTAAGTGCTGGGGGACATGTGCAGACCATGTGGGTTTGTTACTTAGGTATACACGTACCATGGTGGCTTGCTGCATCTGTCACCCAGTAATCTACCTTAGGTATTTTTCTTAATGCTATCCCTCTCGACATAATTTTAGAAAGATTATTTTAATATGAGGACCTATTCTCACATGAACAAAATACACATGACGCTTACAGAGATGAAAAGTCCTCATCCGTATTCACCAGCATCAGAGTCCTGAGGAAACTCAGTGGTGCCTGGTGAGTCTTCCCCAATCGGACTCAGGACAGAAACCTCAGGGAGATTCCCGTACTAGAACAGTCTTTAAGAAGTTAGATCACAGCCGACAGAGAGGTTGGGCCAGGGGCAGTGTCATGTAGAACCTCACAAATTTCACATCTGACTTTTGTCCTGACACTAAAGCCAGTCAGCATCAGCAGTGGTCTGGGGCTCCTTTTGATTCTAATTCATTTTCTTTATTTGCAGTGTTTGTTTTCGCCTTTATATTTGCCTTTCTTACTTCCTTAAGAAGAAACAGATGTTCTCCATGGTCTGCATTCCAGGGCTCAAGGCATTTTCTTGGAGTGCAGGTGGCGCTCAGGCCGTGGCTCCTGCAGGCACATGGCAGAGGCTGATGGGACTTCCTTCTCTCCCCTTTTGCTCAGAACCCTCCACTGTGTTGTGTGTAGACTCATCTGGGAATACAACTGGCCACTAAGAGTGAAGGGATAAACTTACTTGAACAAAATGGGGTGTGGATGTGGAATTAAACCTGTTCCATGCAAACTGTCAGAGTCATCTTCTTCAGAAGTAGTGTTAGAAAGAGCTTGTGAAATGTATCAGAATCAAAATGGAGCCACTTGTGGTAAAACTCTAATGAATTAAGCTAGGGAAGGCCATGAAGGAGGGTCTAACATACATATTCCTGAGAGCAAGAACTGTCATAAGTAGACTCTGCACAGCTACAACCTTGCACAGAGGCCACCACAGCCTTGAAATAATTACTTCTCCAAGTGTATCTGCTCAGCAACTTCCTGTTCAAACTCACAGCAATGTCAACTCTGACTGATCTTTCCTGCCCAGGATAATTGCCTCAAAACAGCTAATGTAATCCTCCCCATTTTTCCTTAATTCTTTATTTTCTTTTACCAACCTGAATGTACCCACACACATTTCAATTGCAATACACATCCTGGAGTTACCAGTGTTACCCTGATATGAAAATCAGACAAAGAAATTAAAAAAAAAAAACCTACCGGCCAATATCTTTGATGAATATAGATGCAAAAATCCACCAGAAAATCTTAGCAAACCCAATCCAACAACACATTAAAAATCATTGATCATGACCAAGTACAGTTTATCCCAGTGAAGCAAGGATGGTCCAGCATATGCAAATCAGTCAGTGTGACACATCACGTCAACAGAAAGAAGGAGAAAAAACATAAGATCAGGCCTCACCTTGTTCTCCTCACTCAAATCTGCCATCAGTGCTGTGTTCCTCTTGGTCAGTCCTGCTGTACTTGATCTTCTGTGATTCCTCCCCCAGATCCTGAAATACTGGGCTTCTGTGCACCTGCAGCCTTTCTTCTTCTTTGACATGGAGATCCCTGTATCCTCAGAGATGAGTGATGCCTCGTTGTCGCTCCCATGGCCCATGCAAACAATTCCTCCAAGGCAGTTGTGTGTTTTCCTGTAAGGAATTGAAAGGAGATGTGGGGAACTGGTGTGTGTGTGTGTGTGTGTGTGTGTGTGTGTGTGTGTGTGTGTGTACAGTGGTACAAAAAGAGTCCTCAGATCTTCTAAGATGTGATGATCTAGGTTATGCTGCCACTCAAGGCTAACAAGGGGCCTTCATGAAGAGAAATCTAGAAAAGGATAAGAATATGAACAAAGAAGCAAAACCTGGGGAGCAGCAGGTAGGGGATCAGCAGGGGTGGCTCAACCGGGCAGGGAAAACACCATGTACCACAGAGGGTGAGAACCCTGGGCTCAGCAAAGAGGAGAACTTATTCAGCATTTCCCCCAACCATCCCCCACCACCAAGAACCATCTTGTGCAAGGAAAGTTCACAATGGAGAATCTCCAGCTTCATTCAGCTGGGACTCCAAAATACACAGTGGGACTTTAGACTATATGTCCTGGAAACAAGGTGTTTCCTTGCTTCCTATCCCTTTTCTTCCCTCTCTGTCCCACAAACCTGCTTGTTTCTGTCACCTGCCTTCCTGCCCTGGGGGTAGGAATGGATGCCTTGACACTCAGCAGAGGGATGCTCTTTCAGAGGAGGAAGGGGTTTGTGTCATCTGACACCTGAGCAGGACACTCAACCCTGGGAAGAGGTTCTGAGACAGAGGGTCACCATGGATCCTGCCCCTTATATGTGCAGGGTTCCTGGCACACACGCACCTCTCCTCAAACTCTATTTACACCAAGCAACAGTGCTCCCCAGTGTTGGTGCTGATCCATCCCATCCACTCAAGCCCTTATCCAGGGGCCTGTCACACCCAATGCATACCATAGGTGGAAAAGGTGTATCCAGAAGCCTTGCAGGAGACCTTCACTGAGGCCTCAAGCTGCTTCACCCCAAGCCCCAGACTGCACCAGCTGCACCTGGGAGTGGGCATCTGTGGAGAGGAGACAGAAGTGTGCTGAAGTCTCACTTGACTGGCCTGGTTTCTCCCTGAGTCCTGGGACTGGAGAGCCCCTGATCTGTAGCCACTGCCACCAAGAATAGGATCCTCCAGGTCCAGTCCATGGTGAGGAGCTGTTCTCTGGGGCTTCTCCGAGGAGGGGTGTGGTTGTTGGGTGATGCTCTCAGGGCACAGAGATCTCCATATTCACCTCAGTTATTTGCATATGCATGAAGGATGCTATTTAATAGCCCAATTCCTGACCTAGCATGGGAAAGAGCAAATAGATGACAGATGCATGGACGACACAATTGTAGAAGCTGAGGGTTCAATCCACAATCCTGTTAGAAGCCATGCATCTCCCACACATCCCTGAACTCTGTGTTGAGAGAGCTTCCCCTACTGGTAACAGGCTTCCCCAGGACACACACCACACTTTGAATCCACATTTGAATGTCTCAGCGGCAACTTGAACCATTTCTAGACCTTAATATGTGAATCCATTATTTTTGAAGTGAGTGTGTTTTTCCCAAAATGGACACTTATTTATAAGAAATGATCTCTTCCTGACCTCTCACTACTTGCTATTAAGATATATAGCAATGTTTGAAATCCCCATTGTAATAGTGGTTCTCATCACAACATCCAGCTTGATAAATGATCACAATTGGATAAGATATTATTCATACATCAGCAGTCCTTGTGAAATACTTATTTTAGATTTTTTAATGTAGTCCCAGGCCCTGAGGGGAACCCCTCCCCAGTCTCCTATGCACCTGCTCTGGGGAGGGAGCCTCTGCTGGGTGTGTCCTGAGCTCCCCCTGCAGCCCAGCTCCGACCCTGCAGGAATGTTTCTGTCTGAGCTGGTAAGAGTGTATTCCTACAGTGAATCTAGCCCAGTATAAAGTGGCTGTGCCCTGGCTCAGAATTCCCCTTTAGTGACACCATATGCTTCTCACACAAGATTTTTCTGACTGCCCCATTCTAAAGCAAAGAGATTCAATTGGGTAGGAATCCTGATAAGAAAAACAATCGGCCAAATTATGTTTAAAGGAGTTTAATTGAGCAATTGAATAATTCATGAATTGAACAGCCCCCAGAATCACAGCTGATTCAAAAAGACTTAATTTTAGTTATGTGGTGGAAGAAGATTTTTAGATTTTTTTTAAATGATGTACAAAAATCAGAAGTGGGACACAGAAACAGCTGGATTGGTTACAGGGTGTTATTTTTCTTATTTAAACACAGTTTGCACACTCAAGAGTGTATGTGTGGTTGAGATATGGTTGCTGGAATTGGCCAAGACTCAGCCATTGTTACAGGTGTGTACTCCTAAGTTAGGTTTTCAATGTTATCTCCCTATTCAGGTAGGGATTCAGTTTGTCCAGAAAGACTCAAACGTAGAAGGATGAAGTTCTTCTCAGGCCATATTTAATTCACTTTATCATGCCCTTCAGTGTGTGGTTACTGAGAATTTCACAAGACAACACGTTTACCTCTTTGGAATTTAAGCAATCCATTACATGTTTGCAGCTTTTTCTTGTAACAGGTGATATTTCATATGCCTCAGTTTAGCTACCACCATGTCTTTCTCTCTACAAGAACTCATTTTCACAAGATTTCCATGTTCATGAAAGGAAAATAAACCTTTGGGACCCCAAAATCACTAAGCCAAAGGGAAAAATCAAGCTGAAATCTTTCTGAGGCAAATCCACCTCCCATTCTTTCCCTAAAATAATAGCTACTAAGATCTTTGAAAACTGCAGACTTCCTTCGAGTTTGACCACAAGGAAAACCCTTACGGACCATGGACAGACAGAGTCGCCTCTCTGCTCACATAAGTCAAATGCATATCTGATTGCTACCTTTGTCCTATTGCTTCACTAAGCCAGGCTAAGGCCCACGTGACTATTTCTGTAAATTGTGCATTCTGTTCAAGTCTAATCAGAAACGCAAAAGAATGAACCATTTGTCTCCTACCTACCTATGACCTGGAAGCTCTCTCCCCACTTCAAGTTGTCCTGCTTCCAAACCAAACCAATGTACATCTTACATGCATGGATTAATGTCTCATGTCTCCCTAAATTTTATAAACCAATCTCTGTCAGTCACTTTGCGCCACATCATCAGGACTCCCTGAGGCTGTGCCACTGGCATGTTCTTAATCCTGGAAAGATAATCCTAAATCTATTCAGATTAGTCTCAGGTACTCTTTCATGTACAGATTTGTTTTCTAGCTCATAACTTCAAATATCTAAAATATTAAAGAAAATTTGCCGAACAGCACATTCTCTTGTTTATCTGTTTGTTGTTGTAAAAAGAAATGTATTTCTATAATTCACATATAATTTATCATCTATATACATTACCAAGCCGAGTAGCAGATTTATTAGTAAGACCCAAAGTAATAAAAATTTCAAATATCAATTAGCAACTTAATAGAAAAATCAAATTATACTACATTGGTTCGCTGAAATGCTACCCATTATATATACACACCAAAAAGATTTAATTCTCAGTATTTCTGTTGAGAAAAATAAGTCAAGTAGATAATAGTATATACTATACCGTTTTATTCTTATAAATTTTAGAAAATAAAAACTACAGAAATATGAAAACATCAGTAATTTTACAAAGAAATGGTAGAAGAGTTGGAGAGAAAACTATTTATATATATACATATATATATACATATATATGTATATATATATTATAGAACAAGAGAAATGCTGAGGGGAATTGATTCAACACATTCTTGAAAACAGGTTTTCTTTAAAGTTTACTATTGAACAGTTAAATATGTGAATTTTATTATCTGTCAAAACTCATGAAATTTATTACAAGTAAACAACTGAAATATTATACCAAAAAAAAGGATGATAGGAAGTAATGAATAAACATGTTAAATGTCATATATACCTAAAAATTTATCTGTCTGAAGCCTAGTTGTCTCCGTATTTTAGGAGAAATGCAGCAAAATCACACAGGTTCTTGTGACAGGAAGTGGATTCTGCAAACCACGCTAGGCCCGTTTTGTTCTGTACTGTGTTGGCAAAGAGAGCAATCGAGGTCAGCTGTGAGGAGCATAGTCCTGGATACTGGGACTCACTCATGGCAGATATGAGCCCCTAGACACACTACAGACCCTCCATGTGTGGGTTCACTTTTACATCTGTAAATGAAGAAAATACTGACTCCTAAATAACATAATTTATACACATGGGTAAACACAATTAAAATTTGAGGGTTGTCAAATGTTTATCACAGAACGATTTCACAATAAGATGCACATTTTCCCAAATACAATCATTGTCATCTAAATCCCCCAGGACTCTCTCATCTGCTCTGGGCCCTGCACTCTCCTCAGGCAACCAGCCCCAGAGCTTGCTATATAGTAGCAGACATGCAAATAGGGCCCTCCCTCTCCTGATGAAAACCAGCCCAGCCCTGACCCTGGAGCTCTGGGAGAGGAGCCCCAGCCTTGGGATCATCAGGTGTTTCTATTCAGTGATCAGCACTGAACACAGAGGACTCACCATAGGAGTTTGGGCTGACCTGGGTTTTTCTTGTTGCTATTTTAAAAGGTAATTCATGGAAAAATAGAGATATTGATTCTGAGTGGACATGAGTGAGAGAAACAGTGAATGTGTGTGGCAGTTTCTGACCTTGATGTCTCTGTGCTTGCAGGTGTCCAGTGTGATGTGCAGCTGGCGGAATCTGGGGGAGGCTTGGTTCAGCCTGGGGGGTCCCTGAGACTCTCCTGTGCAGCCTCTAGATTCACCTTTAGTAGCTATGACATGGATTGGGTCTGCCAGGCTCCAGGGAAGGGTCTGCAGTGGGTCTCAGCTGTTAGTGCTGGTGGTAGTAACACATACTACGCAGACTCCGTAAAGGGCAGATTCACCATCTCCAGAGACAATGGCAAGAAATTCTTGTATCTTCAAATGAACAGTCTGAGAGCTGAGGACACAGCAGTTTATTACTGTGCGAAAAAAACACAGTGAGGGGAAATCAGTGTGAGCCCAGACACAAACCTCCCTGTAAGAACGCTGGGGGGAATCAGCTGCAGGGGGCGCTCAGGACCCACTGATCAGAGTCAACCCCAGAGGCAGCTGCACAGGGAGACTGACTTCCTGTCAGGAGGTAGGACTTCACCTTCCTCTTATAGTTTCTCTGGTGAACTCTAAGTTCAGAATTCTGTGATTACCAGTGTCATCTCTATGTATTTTTAAAATTGTTATTTTAATATGAAAACCTTTTCTCACATCCACAAAATGCAGAGTGATGCTTACAGACATAAGAAGTCCTCAACCATGGTCACCAGGATCAGAATCCTTTGGAAGCTCAGGAGTGCCTGGTGAGTCTTCTACATTCAGACTCAGGGTAGGAACTGTAGAAAGGTTCCCTGACTAGAATAGTCTTTAGGGATTCTGATTCAAGCAAAGAGAGAGTTCCAGTCAGGGTCGGTGTCATGTGCAACCTCACAGGTTTCACGTCTGCTCCTTCTCCTGACACTGCAGTGTGACAATCACAATCAGCACTGATATGGTGATGCTTTTCTCTGTCATCTAGGTTTTTCCTTTTTCTTTTTAGTTGTTGTTCTTCCTTTTTCATTGGCTATCTGTGCTCCCTGAAAAATTAAATGTGGTTTCTGTGGTCTAAATTCCACAGCTCAAGCTCTTTTCCTAGAGCTCAGGTTGGTCTCTGGCTGTGGCTCCTGCAGCCACATGGGAGAGACTGGTGAGACTTTTGCCACTTCCATTGCTCAGGAGCTTCCACTGTGCTGTGTTTAGACTCATCTGAGAATGTACATGGCCCGAGGGAACTGTAGGGGATAAGCTTGCTTGGTCAACATGAGATGTGGATGTGGAATTGATCCTGTGCTGGGCAAACTGTCATTGTGTCACCTTCTTCAGCAGTAGTGTTATGAAGTGGGTGGCAATGTTGTCAGAATTAAAATGGAGCCACCAGTGAATGAAGCTGGAAAAGGACATGAGGGAGGGTTCTCACATTCATCCCTAATAAGAACTTTTGTAAATCTGTTTTAGTTCTTTGTAAATTCTAGATATCAGCCCTTTGTCAGATAGGTAAACTGCAAATATTTTTTTTTTCCCATTCTGTTGGTTGCTGATTCACTCTAATGACTGTTTCTTTTGCCATGCAGAAGCTGTGGAGTTTGACTAGGTCTCATTTGTCTATTTTGGCTTTTGTTGCCAATGCTTTTGGTGTTTTGGTCATGAAGTCCTTGCCTATGCCTATGTCCTGAATGGTTTACCTAGATTTTCTTCTAGGGTTTTCATGGTGTTAGGTCTTATGTTTAAGTCTTTAATCCATCTGGAGTTGATTTTAGTGTAAGGTGTCAGGAAGGGGTCCAGTTTCTGGTTTCTGCACATGGCTAGCCAGTTTTCCCAACACCATTTATTAAACAGGGAATCCTTTTCCCATTGCTTGTTCTTGTCAGGTTTGTCAAAGATCGGATGGTTGTAGATATGTTGTGTTGCCTCCAAGGCCTCTGTTCTGTTCCATTGGACTATATCTCTGTTTTGGTACCAGTACCATGCTGTTTTGATTACTGTAGCTTTGTAGTATAGTTTGAAGTCCGGTAGTGTGATGCCTCCTGCTTTGTTCTTTTGCTTAGAATTGACTTGGCTATGCATGCTCTCTTTTGGTTCCATATGAAGTTTAAGGTGATTTTTCCAGTTCTGTGAAGAAGGTCATTGGTAGCTTTATGGGGATAGCATTGAATCTGTAAATTGCTTTGGGCAGTATGGCCATTTTCCTGATACTGATTCTTCCTAATCATGAACATGGAATGTTTCTCTATCTGTCTGTATCCTCTCTTATTTCATTGAGCACTGGTTTGTAGTTCTCCTTGAAGAGGTCCTTTACATTCCTTGTTAGCTGTATTCCTAGGTATTTTATTCTCTTTGTAGCAATTGTGAATGACAGTTCATTCTTGATTTGGCTCAGAAAAAAACAAGCCCATTCAAAAGTGGGCAAAGGATATGAACAGACAATTTACAAAAGAAGACATACAGGAGGCCAACAAACATATGAAAAAATGCTCATCATCACTGGTCATTAGAGAAATGCAAATCAAAACCACATTGAGATACCATCACACACCAGTTAGAATGGCGATCATTAAAAAAATCTGCAGACAACAGATAAAGAGAGGATGTGGAGAAATAGGAACACTTTTACACTGTAGGTGGGAGTGTAAATTAGTTCAACCATTGTGGAAGACAGTGTGGCGATTACTCAAGGACCTAGAAATAGAAATACTATTTGACCCAGCAAACCCATTACTGGGTATATGTCCAAAGGATTATAAATCATTCTCCTATAAGGAAACACGCACACAAATGTTCATTACAGCACAGTTTACAACAGCAAAGACCTGGAACCAACCCAAATGCCCATCGATGATGGACTGGACAGGGCAAATGTAGCACATATACACCATGGAATATTATGCAGCCATCAAAAATGATGAGTTCATGTCCTTTGTAGGGACATGGATGAAACTGGAAGCCATCATTCTCAGCAAACTGACACAGGAGCATAAAATCAAACACCATATGTTCTCACTCATAGGCAGGTGTTGAAAAAGGAGAACACATGGACACAGGGAGGGGAGCACTACACACTGGGGTCTGTTGGAGGAAAATTGGGGAGAGACAGCGGGGCATGGGGAGTTGGGGTGGGATGGCATGAGGAGAAATGCCAGATATAGGTGATGGGGAGGAAGGCAGTAAATCACACTGCCACGTGTGTACCTATGCAACAATCTTGCATGTTCTTCACATGTACCCCAAAATAAAAAAAATAAATTATATATATATATATAAAATAATAAAAAGGTAAAATATTTCTACAAGGAGAACTAGAACACACTGCTGAAAATATCAAAGATAAGACAAACAAATGGAAATGGATCCCATGCTCATGGATTGGAAGAATCAGTATTGTGAAAATAACATACTGTGCAAAGCATTCTGCAAATACAGTGTAACTCTTATGAAAATAGCACATTATTTTTTACAGAATTAAAAAACAAAAATGCTAAAATTTATATAAAACCAAAAAAGCCCAAATAGCCAAAGAAACCCTAATAAGAAAAAAAAAAAATTAAAGCCATCACATTGCTGAAGTTTAAATCATAGCACAAGGCTGCATTTACCAAAACAACATGATACTGAAATAAATGTGGGCACATAGACCACTGGGACAGAATTGAAAACCCAGAAAACAAGCCAAATATGTAAAGCCAACTGACGTTTAGCAAAGCATACAAAATTATAAATTGGAAAATAGACACTATATTTAATAAATGGTACTGGGAAACTATTAACCCACAAATAAAAGAATATAAGTGAATATTTGTCAGCATATACAAGGTCAACTCAAAATCAATCAGATACTTGAATGTAAGACACTAAACTCTAAAAATTATAGAAAAAAGTATTGGAAAAAACACTTTTAGACATCAGGGTAAGCAAAGAATTTATAACTAAGACCCCAAAAGCAAATGCAACAGAAACAAAAATAAATATATGGAACCTGTTAAAATAAAATGTTTCTGCACAGCACAACTAGTAGTCAACAGAGTAAGAACATAAATAGCAGAAGACATGCACATAGAGCTCTCCCTCTGCTCATAAAAACCAGCCTGTCTCTGACCCTGCAGCTCTGGGAGAGGAGCTGAACCCCAGAATACTCAGTTGTTTGGTGATCAGCACTGAACACAAAAGACTCACCATAGAGTTTGGGCTGAGCTGGGTTTTCCTTGTTGCTATTATAAAAGGTGATTTATGGAGAACTAGTGATGTTGAGTGTGAGCAGACATAAGTGACAGAAACAGTGGATGTATGCATGTGGCAGTTTCCGACCAGGATGTCTCCATGTTTGCAGGTGTCCAAGTGTGAGGTGCAGCTGGTGGAGTCTGGAGGAGGCTCGGCAAAGCCTGGGAAGTCCCTGAGACTCTCCTGTGCAGTCTCTGGCTTCAACTTCAGTAGTTCCCACATGAACTGGATCCGCCAGGTTACAGGGAAGGGCACGGAATGGGTTGGACAAATCAATCCTGGTGGAGGTGGCACATACTACACATTCCGTGAAGGCCCGATTCACCATCTCCACAGAAAACGCCAAAAACAAGCTTCTTCTGCAAATGAACAGCCTGAAATCTGAGGACATGGTCATCTTTTACTGTACTAGACACAGTGAGAGGATGTCAGTGTGAGCCCAGCCACAAACCTCCCTGCAGGGGCGCTCGGGACCCACTGAGGACCCAGGAGCAGATGCAGAGGGAAGTTCCCTTTCTCAGCTGCAGGCAGGAGGCAGGCTTGTTTTTGCAGGAATTGAGTTTTATGAGGTTTTGATATTTTACTATGGCTATTTACCAGGATTTTTTATTGGGACTTGTGTTTTTTAAGTAATTTTTCAATTGATATGTCGGGGTATTTTTTTTTAAATACATACCCTCAATAAATATTTTTTTCCTAATAATTTTCACTTTTTCTTCTAGAGTTTTACTAACATCTGTTGATATCACCAGCTACATAGGTATAGGGACATCAATTTACAAATATAGAATAATACAGAATATGTATAAACAGACAAACTTATTCATAGATCTGTAGTCTTTATATTTAACCTTATAACAAAATAATTATAAAGTGGGTCCTAAAGAAAAAACTTAATAATTACATAAAAATTACAGTATTCTCTAATTGATTTCAATCATTCTCTATATTTTACATAAATTGATGTCTATTTGTAAGCTTAAACATAGTGTACTGATTATTTTAAAATAGCCAGGCACAAACTTTAAACGTCCTTGTCACACACACACAAATAAGATCTGGGGACTTGAGCTGACATTTATGTCAATCAGCTCGATTCAATTATTCCATATTGTATTCATAAATCATAATACAGTTTTGTGTTGTATAAATATATATAACACAAATTTTTCAATTTTCAGTTAAATTTTAATTACATATTTTAACATCCATCCTAGGTCATGAATTCTTTTCTCCCTGTCCAGATGTAATTAGATTGTCTTGAGAAATTCATTCACCCTCCTGC